TCCTTCGGGTTGATCAGCCACTCCTCCCAGTTTAGCATCATCAGTGAACTTGCTGAGGGTGCACTCTGTCCCTTCATCCAGGAATGAACGTCCCATCGATGAATACGCTGAACAAGACTGGAGCCAGTATTGACCCTTGGGGGACACCACTAGATACAGGCCTCCAATTTGATTTTGCACCGCTGATCCCAACCCTCTGAGCTCGGCCATCCAGCCAGTTCTCAATCCACCTCACCGTCCACTCATCTAACTCACACTTTCTGAGCTTGCCTATGAGGATGTTATGGGAAACAGTGTTGAAAACCTTGCTGAAGTCAAGGTAGACAACATCCACTGCTCTTCCCTTATTTATCTAGCATAATTTTTTTTTTTTTTAGTTTTAAAAACTTGAAAAGTAGTGAACCTTGTGCAACTCATTGTACAACAGTTGATGGGCAAACCTTGGGCAGGGCCTCTCTTCCTGAAGGCTTTCACCTGCATTCCCTTTTGCTGCTTTATCATTCTTACAGACAAAAGACCAGCTGTTCCTCACAGTGTCATAAATCCAGAAAGAGTTCCTAACATTCTCTTCCTACTTCTCTTTGTCTTTACTGAGCCCTGATAAGACATGGATTTCATTCAATTCTGGATCAATGGTAGCCCTTTGAGTGAAACCTGTCATTGTAACCATCTCTGAACCTTTCTTAGTGCCATCTGATATGATATCCATATGGTTGCTGTCTACATCATAACTGAAGAAATCATTCAAATAAGTCTTTGATCTCGCCAAACACATAATAAGCAGCGATTTTTAGAAAGGAACAACATACAGGACCCTATTCAGGACTGGATACCCTTGGTAGCACTACAGGATCCTCTCGCAAAAGTTTCTGTGTTTGACACCGGCAGCCAAAAGCAAACAATCCATTAAACTCACTGGCTCACTGGCCCTGCTGTCGTTGATACTGCTGTTACAGGTCAGAATTCTATCTCCAAATGTATAGATCATGTGTTTTTCAGAATCCGTACACATCTGATGAACAAACACCAGCTTCGGACCTCCATCCACTGCAATGTCTTCACTTAGTAACATCCATGTGTATGTACGTAAGGAGAAATTAACTGATTTTCTCCTTTTGCTCAATGTTTTCCATCAATGAATTTAATCTGGATAACCTAGGAAGAAAAAGGAAGGAAAAAATTAAAAGGTAAATGCTAACTATTTCAGTGTAGTTTCCTGTATAATTATTAATTTCTATTCAAAGGCCTGACAAGAAAGATCAGGAAAGACCAGGGTTTATGACACACTCCTGATTTATTACTGACTCTAGAAGTTCAGACAGCTAAAACCAGTGAAGTATAAATCATAGGCAAAATTTAGGGAAATAACCAAGTCCAATCTACTTTCATTTCTGTGCAATACTAAATCCTTTGCAGATATGAGACCTGGTCCCTGCCTTGAAGCATTTGTAGTCTTCAGCTCTACTCGGTAACTGGCAGTGCACAGGCACAAGTGATATGCGCGTATAGTGGCCTCCTCCCCCCACCCCCCCAGCCAGGGGTGGGACCCAGCAACTGATCCCAGCTCAGTCCCCTTGCTGTAGGGCCAAAGACTTAACTGCAAATTGAATTAAAACAAAAATATACAAGGCAGTAAAAGTGCTGGTGATCGCAATCCAGACTACAGCATGAGGTTTACTGTGCTCCAACACGCAGTGATCTAGCTTCCTTATGGGCAAATAGACTTTGACAAAGCATTTGACTGCTAGTTAAGCACATCGCTTCCTCTACAAAACCTCATTCAATGGGACAATTTGATCTGCCTTGGCTTCTGAGCAAATCCTTTTGAAGGAGGGTTGGCTGGCAGGACATCAGCATCAGGCTGCAAGATAGCAGTTGCATCATTTCCTTCCAGGCCTGACGAAGACTGCGCTCAGCCCCCGTTGCCATGTGCTTCTTTGCTAACAGTGAGCTGAATAGGCCTTGAACAGCCCCTGTTTAGCAGAAGGAAAAACAGTTACTTGGTACTGTAAAAACCTTTGATGGCCTTACAAGTATGCTGTCAGGTACGTGTCAAGTGAGAAATTCAACAGAAATGAAGTGCCTGCAAATATACAAAACTCAGTGTTTACTGATTTGCTTCCGAGCTTGTGTATTTCCACAGCTACAGACCCATAACCACAATCTTTGTATTTCAAGCCTCTGTGCCATTCACTCGCTCTTAACCAACAAACACTCTCTAGAGATAACTGTGAATCTATCATATCTAGTCTTACACCCAAAAGCAACCAGAACGGTAGAAAATGAGATTAAAATGTACCATTGGTCACTTCTGAACTGGATGAGACCTGAGTTTTGTCAAGACTCCTAGGGATGTGGGAGACAATCTGCATTACAGATCAAAACTTGAACAGAACCATTCTTGCTGCCTTGCTCAGAAAGGGATGTATATAAATTTAAGTGGGCAGACAATATAAAATAGGAAATTACTTCAGTCATGCTGAGAAAACATACAGCCCTTTAATTCTAGTGGCATACATGATATAGTCAGAGAATTTTCCAAGTGAACATTTGAAATTTAAACATTGTACAGGGTCAAAACCCTTTTATAACCTTGCTCAACCACAGGGAGCTGTAGACAGCAGGATGCACCCGGAAGAGAAATGCAGATTCAGAGTTCCTGCCTGACCTTGCTTGCCACAACTCAGTTGCAAATCACTTGCACTCATTTCATACGGCAGCATGTTTCCCTCAGGACACCCAGACAGCTACGCTAGCCAGTTCCCAACCCTGTCTATGTTAGAGGCTGTTACAAAAATCCGGAATACTCCTGAATTTCTTGCCGCTGCTCAATTCTTCTGCATGTTCCCCGTTTGTCTTCTTGCTTCAGGGGACAACTTCTCCCTCCTGCCAGCTGATGCTTTCATCTGTTGGACATTTCCCTGTGCCCATTAGAACTGGTTGCTAGTACTCCTCCTCGTAACCCTTAAAATGTCTTTCTGAACAAGATTGCTTAAAAAGGACAGCTGCCTTGGAAGCTGCCATGTCCTTCCTACCTTCTGTCCAGACTCGCAGTCCACAAAGATGGTGGCGTATAGTTCAATTGGCCTTGAATAATTCAATTACATTCTTGCCCAGCATTGCCTACAGCAGATCTACAAAAGGGCCGTTCAAGGGTAGGCCCCCAGAACCACATCTTCTGCTCAGTGGGATTAGCCATGTGCTCCAGAGTGAGCAAACCTTGTTAATCATGTTGTACTTGGCCAGGTTAAGACAAGATGAGAAATGGGTTAAACGGAGTCCAGAAACCAAGGTTTAAGTATTGCCCTTGGGCCCAGTGTGGTGACAACATCGAGAAATTGAACACCCTTTCGGTAGATTAATTGTAAGAGTCCAAGTTCTTGCTTGGTCTAGTTCAAAAACTGTGTTTCAGGATGACTGTGAACCATTCAGATATTCATGGCCACAGAAATAGTTAATGTAAGGAGGTTTTAAAAAAAAACCCATATTTTCTAAAAACTATAACCTTCCAATAAATGCCTGCAGTATCTCTTTGTCACAGAGAGCAACTAACAAGCAGTAAAATAGGACTGCTGCCACAATTCAAAATGGATTCAAAAGGTCATTCATTCTCCTGCCTAGTATAAAGAAATTCAAGGTGAGAGCAGTATTTTTCTCCAACACGTTATCACTCAGAATACATTTTAGAAGCATATGAGAAAGCCATTACAATGATACAGGTTGGTTCATAAGTGCTTACACAGTGTTAGTCAAATTCACGTTTCAATACTGAACAGTAACAATTACCAGTCTCTTCTTTTTATTAAGCTTTCTTTTGACCTTTGAAAAAATTGTTGGGAGAGATGTCTGGACCTTCTTAGCTCACTTTTAGGGCATTTTGTCATGTCTGGCTTTGTAGAAGAGAGCGGTTTTTTTCAAAGGTCAAAATAGAGCTTTCTTAAAAAAAAAAAAAAAAGAAGAAACTTTTAACTGCCCATTGTTTGGAGCTGAAACAAGGATCATTTATGTAATCCTGTTTTAAAAGCACAGATTTTAAAATCCATATCATTAACAGATTTTGATTTGTTGCCTTTAGAAATAAGAAAAGCCAAAATTTAAAATGTTCTCCAGGAAAAAGCTCACCTTACTGTCTCCTGCCTTTTCTCCTATTCTGACTTGAATGACTCTTGCTTTTACGGTGAAGATATAGGAATCGCAACAAGGCTGGTGAATTCTGCAGTGAACCATGAACCAGCTCTTTCTTCTCGCCTTCCCACTCATACTAGCTTCACGGATTAATTTTAACTTTTTGGATAAGAACACCACCTCTGTGCTACATTCACTAGAAACCTCAAAAATAGGCTAAGCAATTATCTAGTTATTTGTCTGGCAGCAGCTTTGCCATTTGGGACTGCATGTCTCACTCACGTCTAGATCTAGCCAGCTTTGTAAAAGCCTTTCAAAATGCTTTTCAAAATGTCAGATATTACAATACTTATTTAATCAATGGACTCATAGATAGTATTGTATCCCACATTCCTCTTCACTATTCAAATTCAAACATCCCAAGATTTACGCTTGGCTTTTTAATGTAGTGATGCAATGGAAGGTCATGCTTCATTTTTTTTGGCCTTTATAACATCTAAATTATCTTCAGACACTATTTCATGAGACTATAGTTCCTAGTTCCCTAGATGTTTAACATTAAGGAATATAGATCTCTTCTAATGCAGGTACTTCACTGTACACATGTACACTCAATTTTAGAGAATCACAGGGAACATGATTCTTTCACAGGACTCCTTCAAACTTCAAATCTTACTGAATCAGACCTCAGAAGTGCGTTATTTCAGATTGCTAGGCTTGGATATTTATCCCTAATCTCCACCCCAATCTGTTAAAAACTTGGAGAGTATTTCATCATCCTCTTGCAATATATGTAGAGGAGAGATAACCCATAACTGTCACATCACATCCCACAAACCTCAGAGACCAGGAGCAGTTCATCGGTGAGAGATGACAAGAGCTCATCCAGGGAATCCATCCCTCCATCTCCCAGAAAGGGAGAGTTAGGCCAGGAAGACAGACCTACAGGCGATCCTGTCCTGACGGCTGCTGATTTACTGCTTCTTGCACCCTGTAGCTGTTAGCCCATAGGTTGACCAGCCCAGTAAAAACCTGATCTATCTCCGATAAAAAACAGAATTAAATATTTTCAACAGTAGCCTGCCTTTTCTATAACTTTAAGAGGTTAACAGTATAACATGCTAACACTGTTGCTAGCAATTTTTTGTTCATGTTTAAAAAATAAATATAATCTTATACTTACCTTTCATCAAGATAAAATCATAAAACTACATGTAACAATC